AAATGAAATCCACCGCGGGTTACTAATCAGTCAACTTCAGCTGTTTCCGGACTCACCAGACGATCATTTTATATTCAAATAAAAAGAAACTGTAGAAGCAAACAGGAGAGATTTTCCAAAAGGTCAACAAGGAGATCGAATGAGCAAATTAAAGCGGAAAGGACGAATAAAAAGAATCGTATTCAGACAGTTTGTACTATCTAAGTTAAAATGTTCGGAATCGCGAAAGAATCGGGACGAATTTTTCAGTCATACAAAGGATACCAAACAGAGCGCTTATTCAAGACAAAAGCTTCTAAAAGTGACTCCTACTTTATCAGTTTTAAATTACCATGCTGACGAGCAGATAAAAATCATTTTTAAAAAACGTTTGGAAGTTGTTGTATGACAATACAAAGCTGTATGCCTTTATTAGTTTTTGAAGCTAATATTTCTCAGTCTTTATGTTCGTTTTTAATTTAGCGAAAGTTGGCCGTTCTACAGCAACGAATCACAAGGAGACCATATTGTTGGAGACCAATATGCTACGCAGTCTAGAAACTCCAAATCACTCCTCTGTACCCACTCCCTTCCTCTGGAGTTCAGTATTTAGCTCCCCACCCCCCACAGCCTCGGGTTTCATGCGTGCTAATATGTTAGGTATTAGGGGTGGCCAATGGTAAAATCCGGAACTCGCCGAGACGCCGAGATCCTAGTTAGAAATCCGAGCCCGAGACCCTTTGGTGAAAATTTTCGAGACTCAAAAAAGTAAAAACAAACCATGAAAAAAAGAGACTTCGAGACTTATCAAAAACGCTTCCGAGATTTCGAGATCCTGCCAAAATTTTCCGAGACCCACGTTTTTCGAGGTACCATTCGCCACCACTGGCATTGTTTCCTCGGGTTTCTTGGAAAAATCAGTGAAGAGAGACGCTGTCGCTTTGTGGTTAAATTGACAGACACTGTTTTATAAAACACCTTTTCAAGGTAAGACAGGCCGGTCTCACGCACTAGCAACCAGAAAATATGCCAAGGCAAAGAAAGATCGATCTACTAAACTCCTCCAAACCGATGCTGCATGACAAACGTGGTTTCGATTTCACAGTGGAGCATCACTACTTCTCCCTAACTGAAATGGATGAATTGAGTGAGAAAGTTATTCCCGCACTAAAGATGGATTTCGCAGTTTTCGTCGTTCACGCTAAAGAGTCACGTCTCTCGACGATGGCCGCAGTTATACCAAGGTATACAGAGCTTTTATGAAAGCTACAGGTAAAAAATTCAGAACGCCTCCAGTAATTCGTCTTATTATTGCAATTTTCATTGAATTGCAAATATACAGTACAGATCTTTGTGGCAGGAGTGGACAAAAAATTAAAAGGGGGTCTCTATTGCGTTAACCGTCAGCCGTCAGCCGTCAGCCGTCAG